GACAGACAGTGCACAGAGACAGAGACCCGCTCCCAGTGCTGCACTGGTATTCAAGGATTTACTGCCTCTGAATATGGAGAGCCTTTACTCACCGTGGCTAGTAGCCATAGATTGGCCTCTCCCCCTTGAATCTGACACTCCCTTTCCCAGCCATCTTTGCCTGCGGCCATCACTGCACCCTCCGGTAGCGAATTCCACATCTCAATCGCTCACTGAGTAAAGGAGCATTGCCTTTGATCCATCCTGAACCAACTGCCCATCAGCCTAACTGGGTGCCCCCGAGTTCTGGTATTACAGAAGAGGGAGAGAAAACTCTCTGTGTCCTCTTTCTCTAGAAGAGAAAGAAGCACGGTGCCATTTTCCCGCAGGTGCTTAGATGACCCAAGGAATAAACCTCTTTCTTCTAAAACTGTGCAACATGCTCTAGTGAGACGGGGAGAGTCAGCGTTCCTTCCTGAATCTCCAGTAGTGGCAAAGGTGATAAGAGTGAAGTGTTCATGATTAAGGAATAGGTATTGTTCATTTGGAGCCGCAGTGGCTCAGTGGTTAAGACACTGAACTGCCGACCGGAAGGTTGGTAGTTCGGCAGTTCGTCATGCTGGCCACATGTCCACGGAAACGTCTTCGGACAGCGCTGGCTCTCTGGCTTGGAAACGGAGATGAGCACCGGCAACCCTGGAGTCGGATTCGACTGGCTTTTGAGCAAGGGAATCTTTTACCTTTACCTTTATTGTTCCTTTTAAATTATTGAACTGTCATCTGTTGTTTTCATGATCCCATGGTCATATAATTTCTTTTCGTTTTGTCACCTATAAGTGTTCCCAGATATGTTTTGATATTTTATAAAACACAGTTTTGACGTCACTTTCCTCTATATGTCTAGTTCTCTCCCACGACCTGTTTTTAAGTATCTGTTTTGTACCTCTGTTAAGTTTTGTCTGTATTGTCTGTTTTGTACCTCTGTGGGCCGTTGTCTAATAACCAGTCACATCCAGTGTCTAACTCAGACTCATCCATCGAGCCTTTGAAAGAGGAAGGGTTTTCTTGGCTCTTTAGCACAAATCCAACCCCACCCGATATATTGTCATGACAGTATCTGATGCCCCAGGGGGGAAGCAGAAGGGAAAAGTCAAGCGTCTGTTAAAATACAGCTTTTTTGTCTTTTCGTGAAAAAGGGAGACATTCAGTTAAATTTTGAGGTTTATTCTTGGAATGTACGTCTGAACAATGTCTTATCTGTGTCCTGAAGAACTCTGCTGTTCTAGGCCTGCCTGCGGCATCTGAACTTAAAGGTTGCAGTTAGGAAGCCGCTCAAATATCGGCGCACCAGCAATTCTCACTTTTTAAGAAACTCATACAAAATGACAATTGCAAGAGGAAGAAGAAAAAAGGAACAACTTACATTACCAATCCTTAGTCAATACATACACGCAACAGTTTGGTGTAGTGGTTAGGTGTGCAGACTGTAATCTAGGAGAACCAGGTTTGATTCCCCACTCCTCCACATGCAGCTGCTAGTGTGACCTTGGGTTCGTCACAAGTTTTCTCAGAGCTGTTCTCTCACAGGCAGTCCCCGAGAGAGCTCTCTCAGCCCCACCTACCTCACAGGGTGTCTGATTCCCCACTCCTCCACATGCAGCTGCTGGTGTGACCTTGGGTCCGTTCAAGTTTTCTCAGAGCTGTTCTCTCAAAGGCAGTCCTCGAAAGAGCTCTCTCAGCCCCACCTACCTCACAGGGTGTCTGTTGTGGGGAGGGGAAGGGAAAGGAGATTGTAAGCCTTCAGGTAGTGAAGGACAGGGTATAAAACCAATCTCTTCTTCTTCTTCTTACTCACAAATATTCCTCTCAACATAACGTAATAAAGGAATCCAGTTTGCTTCCTGGCCTTTAACTTCTTTCTTATTGAAGATCATAGTTTGTGTCCAGTGTCACTAACAAAGTTTTATTCTGGGTATAAGCTTTCATGTACACGCCCACATCTTCAGATACATTGAAACGGAAGTCACTAGCTTTTACATCTAGGTAGTGGGTGAGGAGGGTGTTGCTGGGAAGGGCCAAGTAGAGTCAATATGCATAAGTAAATGAGAATATAGCTAAGACTGGATAAAGGCGATGGGTAAGAACTGTGAATGGCAGCGAGTTAGCATGCAGCATAATAAAGGAGCAGAAAGCAGGGGGTGAAATGGCTGGAGCCATTTAAACCCCTGCTTTCTGCTCCCTGCAGCTTTTTTGCGGGGAGCAGAAAGCAATGGTTTGGATGGCTCCCAGCCATTTAAACCAAAGAGCTGAGTGGCAGGTAGCTTTTACATCTAGGAGGCTTCAGAAGCCACTACGATCTGCCTCAAAAATTCGTGAAAGTTCCCGGCGGTCCTTCTGTTCACAAACATTGCTTCACGAACCACAGATTGGCCGAAATTCGTCAGCCAGTTTGTGCCCATCCCTACACCTAAGTCAAAGAGGAGGCCGTGACTCGTTAATAGAGTATCTGGCTTGTGCTGTCAAAGGCTCCAGTTTTAGCCCTGGGATCTAGATCAGGTAGTAGGCAATATGAAAGACCCGCTACCCGAGATGTTCCTGCGCGCTATTCCCACGAGAATACTGACCTTGCTAGACTAATGGTCAGACTCTCTACAAGGCACTTCTTGTGTGTGTGGCCTTCCATTTAGGCTAGTTTTTTTTAGTGGATGCAATTAATCTGCCACTGCTGGAATTTGGAGTCATGATGTGTATGCGGCATTGTTTCTCATCCATTGTACAATAATGCTCCCTGGATTCTGGGGGGAATATATACGTTGTTGTTCAGTTGCACAGTCGAGTTCGACTCTTTGCAACCCCATGGACCGCATCACGCTGGGCCCTCCTGTCTTCCGTCATCCTCCGGAGTTTGGTTAATTTCATGAGAGTATATATATAACAGAGCTATTAACATGCTGTCTGAACAGTAGAGCCACAGTTTGAGATGCTGTGTAAAGCTGTCATGCTAAACGATAAGGAAATCCACCTTGAGTGATTTTGCAGTCGTTTAAAACAGACTTCGTGACACTATTCCTTTGAGTACTTACCAGGGCCTTTTTTGTAGAAAAAGCCCAGCAGGAACTCATTAGCATAATAGGCCACACCCAACAGCAGAAACTCATTAGCATATTAGGCCACAGCCCTGACAGCACAGCTCATTAGCATATTAGGCCGCACCCCCATGTTACCAGAAGTGTGGTCATCCAGCCACGCCCACCTTTTGCTTCTTATTCTGTTGACCTTGTTTGTGGTCAAAACCCAGGGCTTTTTTTGTAGCAGGAACTCCTTTGCATGTTAGGCCACACACCCCTAATGTAGCCAATTCTAATGAGTTTCTGCTGTTGGGTGTGGCCTATTATGCTAATGAGTTCCTGCTGGGCGTGGCCAACTTGGGAGCCAGCCGGAACTCCGTTCCTGTGCCTTCCTGCCCAAAAATAGCCCTAGTATTTACTCATTTGGAGCTTCGAGTGTCTCCTTTGAAGCTCTCTTGGGGTGGGGAAATCATCACTGTGTTTTTGGCCTCTTAACGGTTGGGGGTGTGTTGAGGGGGTGGGGAACCCACTCCCTTAAACGTGCTCCCTGCTGCGATTGTCTGGACGGTAGGAAACAGGAGGGCTCTTAATAAGGCTAACCTCGAAAATCAGGAAACGTTCAGTAATGTGTTTTCTCCGCTCTAGCCTTTTAATCCCAAGCCCCTTCTCGCGCATAAGCGTAGTGGGAGGCACGGAGCAGCGGGTGGGGGATCCCATGTGGCACGGGCAGCCCATACGGGATAATCCTCTACTTTGCTTAATGAGCAGCGTGCCCCCCATCCTCAGATGACAATCTGTGCCTCTCCATAGACTCGTGATAATGTGGAGCTGGCGTGACCCTGATTAAGGCTGGCTTATTGTCCCCTTTTGGTGGTCCGTTCAGCATCCCTGCCGTCCCTTCCACTTTTATATCCCACAAACGCCGTTCGGGCCCAACAGAGCCCCCATTATTCTCTTCGGCCCAAGCGGCACTGAGGCGCAGGGCTCCTTAATTACCCAGACGAGCTTCCAGTTGCGTCCATCGCCATTTCCCCAGAGGCAGGATAAGGTGCTTTTTGTGCACTGTGGGATGAATATCGTCGTGTCTGCGGGCTGGCATAATTGCTACCCATTTGGCGGTTTGTCTGAAAAGGCCCCTAATTTCCTTTCTCGAAATGGGAAGTGGCTCAGATTCCCTCTGCCCACATATTAGTTCTCCAAGCCCAATAATGAGTCCAGAGGATGGGCCTTGCCATCTCTATGTACAGACAGTTGCTGGGTTTGCCCATTTGCAGGTTGGCTCAAGTGGTTAAGACGCCGAACTGCAGACCGGAAGGTTGGTACTTCAGCAGTTCGAGACCCGAGTGTGCCGCATGACGGAGTGAGCCCCCGTCTCTGGCCCCAGCTCCTGCCAACCTAGCAGTTCGAAAGCAAGAAATTGCAAGTAGATAAATAGGTACCGCTTCGGTGGGAAGGTAACAGCATTCTGTGCACCTCGGCATCTAGTCATGCCGGCCACATGACCACAGAAACGTCTTCGGACAGCGCTGGCTCTTCTGCTTGGAAACGGAGATGAACACCGCCCCCCTAGAGTCGGATTCGACTGGCTTTTCGAGCAAGGGAAACCTCTTCCTTTACCTGCAGAAGTCCCTGCTGACTTGAGGGAAGTTGTCTTGGTGGGGCATAAGGAGAGCGGTGGTCCTGCAAATAAAAGGGGCCAACACAGTTTGCTTGCCGTGCACGCTTACCTCTCCCACACGCCGCTGCAGGCGATGCTGTTTTTAGCCAACAAACACAGCACTTTCAGTCCACCATGCATCACTCTTCCGCTCAGTCACATCTGTTTTGATACAGGCGTTGTAAATACTAGTAATCATAGAGCTCGGTTGGAGGGTCAGTTTGGTATACAGAAGACTGTGCCTGATCATGCCTTGCACTGGAAATGCTGATTTTTCCCGTTTCTCCTTTGCCAAGGGCCCGCCGGCAAAACAGATCCCTCCCCGCGAATGTCATAGGACAGAAGAGGCAAGAAGGTTCTTGCACCACAATAGGTGAGTCTGGTTTTTGCTGCATGTGCTTGGAGTGCTTGGTAAGTCATACTGCAGCGTTAAGAAATACGCCATGTGATGTTTAAGTACTCTTTTTTTCTCTCCATCTTGTGGTCCCATTTGCGTTTCTAAACGCAGAACCCCAAAGCGCTTCACTGGGGAGGGGCTGTGGCTCAGTTGCAGAGCCTCTGCCTGGCATGCAGAAGGTCCCAGGTTCAGTCCCTGGCATCTCCAGTTAAAAGGACCAGGCAGGAGGTGATGTGAAAGACCTCCGCCTGAGACCCTGGAGAGCTGTAAAGAGGGGCTGTGGCTCAGTGGAAGAGCCTCTGCCTGGCATGCAGGTCGTCGCAGGTTCAGTCCCCGGCATCTCCAGTTAAAAGGACCAGGCGGGAGGTGATGGGAAAGACCTCCGCCTGAGACCCTGGAGAGCTGTAAAGAGGGGCTGTGGCTCAGTGGAAGAGCCTCTGCCTGGCATGCAGAAGGTCCCAGGTTCAGTCCCCGGCATCTCCAGTTAGAAGGACCAGGCAGGAGGTGATGGGAAAGACCTTCCACCTGGGTGTCTAGTGTTCCCTCCAAGCTGAGTTAGTGTGAGCCGGCTCAACAATTTTTTAGCCTCTGGCTCACACATTTTTGTCTTAACTCTCAGGACAGATGGCTCCAGAGCAAGATAATTTATGCAGCAGACAAATCGCTCACTCACAACTTTAATGCCCATAGCTCACAGAGTAGAATTTTTGCTCACAAGACTCCACAGCTTAGAGGGAGCATTGCACTACTGATAGAATCATAGAATGTTAAGAGTTGGAAGGGACCTTGCAGGTCATCTAGTCCAACCCCCTCCACTCTGCAGGAGCATAGCGGAAAGATGGCCCTGCAACATACCCGAAAGATGGTCGTCCAGCCTCTGCTTGAAAACGTCCAGCGAAGGAGCATCCACCACCTCTCGAGGCAGTCTGTTCCACTGCTCAGCCACTCTGACAGTCAGGAAGTTTCTCCTTCCTCGTTACTGGCTTAATGTCATCCATTGGGCAGGAAAACAGTTAATCTATGGAATTTGCTGCCACAAGATAGGGTGTCTTGGTAACAAACTCAGAAGACTTTTAAAGGAGATTAGAAGGCGTAGAGGGGTTTAGAAAGATAGAACTGGAAGGGACCCAAGAGTCATCTAATCAAACCCCCTGCACAATGCAGGAACCAGCTACTCTCACCCCCCCTCCCCGGTGGCCAGCGTTCTTTCTAAGCTGAGTTAGTGTGAGCTAGTTCACAGTTTTTTAGCCTCTGGCTCACACAGCCCCACTGCTGGACCTCCTGTTGGCACCTGGTATTTTTGGCCACTGTGTGACAGGGTGTTGGACTAGATTGGCCATTGGCCTGCTCCAGCATTGGCTTCTCTTATGTTCTTATGTCTTAGCTCAGGAAAGATGGCTCCAGAGCAAAATTGCTCACTCACAGCTAACAAAGTCCAGCAGCTAACAAAGTAGAATTTTTGGTCACAGGACTCCACAGCTTAGCGGGAGCATTGCCAGTGACCCCTGTTCTATGAAGAAGGCAAAAACCCTCCTCTCTGACCCCAAAGTGGTGATAGGCATTTCCCTGGGCGTGTAAGAAAGGGCCACGAGAACTGAGCACTGATGCAACCCTTCCTGCCCTCCCTCTCACAATCTGCCTAAGTTCACAAGATCAGCATTGGTGTCCGAATGGCCACCTAGCCTCTGCTTAAAAACCTCCAGAGAAGGAAGAAGAAGAGATTGGATTTATACCCCGCCCTTCACTACCGAAGGGTATCTCAGAGTGGCTTACAGTCTCCTTTCCCTTCCCCTCCCCACAACAGACACCCTGTGAGGTAGGTGGGGTTGAGAGAGCTCTTGACAGAAACGGCTCTTTTTCAAGAACAGCTCTTATCAGAACTACAGCTTGCCCAAGGTCATCCAGCAGGTGCAAGTGGAGGAGTGGGGAATCAAACCCGGTTCTCCCAAATCAGAGTCCGCGCTCTTAACCACTATACCAAACTGGCTCTCACACCAAACTGGCTTAGAGGGAGCATTGCTCACAGGGTATCTGTTGTGGAAAGGGGAAGGGAAAGGAGAGTGTAAGCCGCTCTGAGACTCCTTCAGGCAGTGAAAGGAAGGGTATAAATCCAATATCAATGACCTTGCTCAGATTAGGCATGCTAGGATTCTGGCCTGTAATTTCCTCATTCCCACTGACTCCATTTTTTAAAAATGGGTGTAAAGTTGACCGTTTTCCAATTCTTTGGTAAGGAGGCACAGCTTGCTAGGCAGTTAACGGTTTCACCCTTCAGTTCTTTAAAAACTCCTGGGTGCTTGCCAATCCAGACAGGGTGACTTGATTGCTCTTTCATTTATCAGAAGAACAAAGTTTGAGTCCAGAGTTTTATTCAAGACCTGATCTTTCGTGTGCACACACACTTCCTCAGATACATTGAAACAGAAGTAATCAGTCCATACATACAGGTAGAGGGCAGTGTTCCCTCTAAGCTGAGTTAAGTGTGAGCTAGCTCACAGTTTTTTAGCCTCTGGCTCACAAATTTTTGTCTTAGCTCTGGAAGGATGGCTGCAGAACAAATTAATTTATGCAATAGTCAAATTGCTCGCTCACAACTTTAATGCCAGTAGCTCACAAAGTAGAGTTTTTGCTCACAAGACTCCACAGCTTAGAGGGAACACTGGTAGAGAGTGAACAGCCAATTAGCATACAACATAATGATGTTGTAACATAAGTGAGAACCGGAATAACAAGCAACATTTATATGGTCACCATGTGCTTGGATTCAATTCTGGGTGAAAACACAGTGAGGCAAATAAATATGTCAGAATCGGAGACGGATGTGTAATTGTATCCTTGTTAATTGTGGGATGCTAAGAGTAATTAACTGAGACCCTGTTGTTACGTTCAGTTAACAAGGATGCAATTACGCATCCATCTCCAATTTTGACATTTTGCCGTATTTGCAGTGGTAAACCACTTTTGAATGTCTCTTGCCTTGAAAGCCCTACGGGCTTGCCATAAGTTGGCTGAGACTTGACAACCCAAAATAAAACTAAAAAGTTCCCTAGCTGGTTTTCTGTTTCCAATATATTTAAAATGTTTTTTTGTGGTATATGTTCATATTTACAACAATACACTCACATGCTTCCCCCCCCCCCAATTGCCTGATTGTCAACTGACATTTGTACCAGTTTGGTGTAGTGGTTAGGAGCGCGGAGTCTAATCTGGGAGAACCGGATTTGATTCCCCACTCCTCCACTTGCAGCTGCTGGTGTGACCTTGGATCAGTCACAAATTCTCTCGGAGCTGTTCTCTCAAGGACAGCTCTGGAAAGAGCTCTCTCAGCCCCGCCTACCTCACAGGGTGTCTGTTGTGGGGAGGGGAAGGGAAAGGAGTGTGTAAGCCACTCTGAGACACTGAGTGAAGGGTGGGGTATAAATCCAATCTCCTCCTCCTCTTCTTCTGGATTTTGTGTCCTTTTGATTTCCTCATTCGACTTAACTGGACTCAGCAGGGCAAATTTATAACTTGCGTATATTTCTTTTTTTGTATAATGAATTTTATTAATTTTCAAAAAGTACAATATGATACAAGTTTCATAACTGTAAGTGCATGGTATTTTACATTTGAAGAAGTAAAACTTTCGAAGGCAGGTATTAAACATTCGTACAGTAGCAGAGGCAAACACTTAGATGCAGTGAGCTTCATTAGAACATCTCTCTAAAGTAAGATGAAGACGTTATGCTGAAGGGTAAGAAAAGCGTAGGAATAAAGTATTTAAGTAAATATATAAAACTGAAGTATGGATTTTACCACAGCCATAAATCATCCATCACCTTTGGGACATCTGATTTTTCAGTTAGGAACCGTAAGAGAGGGAACCAAATTGCTATAAACGATGTAAAAAAGGTAACGGTTTCCCTTGCTCGAAAGCCAGTCGAATCCGACTCTATGGTTGTGGTGCTTATCTCCGTTTCCAAGCCGAAGAGCCAGCGCTGTCCGAAGACGTTTCCGTGGTCATGTGGCCGGCATGACTAAACACCAAGGCGCACGGAACACTGTTCCCTTCCCACCGAAGTGGTACCTATTTATCTACTTGCAGTCTCTTGCTTTCGAACTGCTAGGTTGGCAGGAGCTGGAACGAGAGACGGGAGCTCACTCCGTCATGCGGCACACTCGGGTCTCGAACTGCTGGACTACCGACCTTCCACAGCCTGCAGTTCAGCGTCTTAACCCCTTGAGCCACCGCAGCTCCTATAAATGATGTAGGAGTGGGTATTTTGTCAAAGCGCGTAAGATTATCCGAGAGTTTCGCCATAACATATAAATCCCACAACCTATTATGCCACTGTGTAAGTGTGGGTGCCATTAACTTGCGTATATTTCTGAATC